CCTAAGCCATCCTGCCCCCGTGCTGTATCTGAGCCCGGCGGACTTGATGAGGCTGATGTTCTGCTCGGCAGGGGAGCGGCGCGGTTCTTTCACCCACTGAAACACAAACATGTAGAGAGAGACGTAGCCCTGGTCGGTGTGCAGCTGCTCATGAGCATGGCCTTTAACCATCATCGTGAATGAAGCCGCTCTCTCTTTCTCAGTCGGCTGTCCTCTCTGAGCTGTCAAGATAATCATTTTATCCTCATTTTTCATTCACTTAATTGAAGTATGAATGGTTTTCTGATAACCTGCTATTAAGTCTAAACATTTTAAAGAGGAGGGGGAAATGGTGTAGCTTATTAAAATAACTCGCAAATATCTATAAATTGTTGGAAAGAGCCTTGGGTGAACACTTTGGAGGGTTATTGTCTAATTTATAAATGACACTTAGTTTCTGCTCGGCGGCTCTGTGTTGTTTTCACAGTGCCTGTGCAATCCAGCAGAGGCTTTCCAGCTACCAACTGCAGCCAAATGAAGCTTCAAGAAGCTCCTCGAAATAAGCAGTTTGTTCCTAATTAAAGACTTATAGAATCTGTATGTGTGTGTGTGTGTTGTGGGGTCGCTTGTGCCACGCCTATAAAATGGCCAGCAGTTTAAGCAGACACAGAGGTGGAGAGGCTATCACTCCTTTTGCTAGACAACATAATGGCCCGCTTTCCCCTCACCATCAATCTCTGTCACCGTCTGCCCCTCCTACACGCACCCAAAACAACACACACACACACATCCAGGTACACACCAAGCATGCACAAACAAATGCAAACACACACACTCGTTCCAGCCACACGCAGTGGGACAGGAGTTTAATTATGCCTCTAATCTTGAGTGACAGTAGCATGTATAATGGCTGACTCCCTGGGGCCATGTGTCGAGGCATCCACCCATTCATCCACCCAGCCCTCCTTCTATTTATCATTTACTTACTTAGTCATCCATCACTCCATCCACCAATATTTCCACTCAGGTTCTCGCTTATAGTCAGCCTCCTTTTTCTTAACCACTCCCAGCTCCTTCTCAACCTTTCCTGGTGTCTTTTCTGAGGCCTTTGTAGAAGTCGGCTTTCCTAATTCTCCCTGTCACACATCATCTGCTCTTTAGAAAAGCCTTCTGGACGGGGCCAGTTAGGCCTGTACCCACAGAGGCTCTGACCACTGAAAGCGAGGCCCCCGTGTGGTTCAGGGGTGAGTAAATAACAAATCTCCCCTGTGCGTGTGTACACATCTTATATGTGATTTTAGCAGATATGGGAGGTAAGAGTAAAGTCTGAAATGAGGAGCTGTGAAATAGTTAATCTGGAGATAAATTACAAATTCATCAGCAAGCGATTATTTGCAGAAACTGTGAAAAAAAAGAAGAAACCCCCCCTAACAGATTCCAGCTCATTAAATGTGAATATTTTCTGGTGTTCTTTGTTGTCTCTGATTGGAAATGGGATATCTTGGGGTTTTAAACCTCCAAACAAAACAAGAGGCATCATTTGATTAAGCAAAAAATAATCTGAAGATTAAACCTTAATGAAGAAAAACAAAATCATCAGACTTTAACTACAGGAAAAGGCCAATTTTGCTGTGTAAAAGTCTGCATGACTTTTTCCTCTAAACTGAAAAGCAAGAACAATTGTGAGTTGAATTTAATTTTATGGTTTGGTAAACGAAATATTGCAAGGATATCTTGCCCGTGTTGGCAGAAAGATTTCATTTGTTTTTCAAGATTTCTTTGGCAGAAAGATTTCATTTGTTTTTCAAGATTTCTTGCTGTTTCAGAGAGGGTAATCAATCATATGTAATATAAAATTCATTGGACTGTGTGGTGTTTGCCCACTGATCAGGTTCCAGCTTTCCTTCCATCAGTCTATCTGGATTCAGTGAAATAGTGGGTTTAAACTTCAAAAGAAACCACACACACAAAAAGAAGGAAATCAAGAAGAAGAGGAGGACAAAAAGCAAGCATAACAACTCTAATTTAAAAGAAGTGCAGACACAGACGTGTTAGATAGCACCTTGAACCCCGTCTGTTGGAGAAAATTGAGTACTCATCACCCAAACTGTGCGGCTACGGTTGTGAAGTAGTATTTATGCGAATGCACTTGCTGTGGTACTACCTTCTTGTTAGACAGCTTTGGTTGGATATTACTGAAAAGTTGTCATGTGGTGATCAAACCTCGTCCACTGGGGGGAAAAAACCTGCATATATTGTTATAGCACTAGTCTTATTTTAATGAAGAAGAGGCAAACAAAAGGATTTCAGTTTGGACTTCAAGAGTTGTTATCAGTGGAAACGCTCCCAGAGCCCTTTAGTTCATCTCCAGTAATTCCCTGTAACCGCGATAAAAACCAAATGATAATGGAAATTGTTTTTAAACATTTTTTAGTTTTATTTGTCATAGCATTACTAAGTCTTTACATTCTCCAGTTTTAAAAATGTGTGACATAGCCTTTGTCTGCCGCCTGGTGTCTTATCCTCTTAGTTTTTATTAAAGCTTCACTGTCAGCGGCTAGCATGGATGAATAGATATCTGTGACTAGTCCTGAGTCTCCTTAGATATGGATTTGAAATCCAAATAAACAAATGTCACCACAAAAAATGCAGAATTTTACCATTTTGGGCAGATTTTTATGCTTTTAATCAACACTGCTGGATTACTGGTATTCTGCTTCAGGACTTCAGTGAAAAATTAAATTGAAAGTGGCCTGTTTTTATTTATTTATCTTTAACTTATATCACTTTTAAAGCTATTGGGCTGTCGTTCGGTTTCTTTATATGTTCTTTATATGTTATTATTTTATCAAAGCAAAGCAAAGCTTTTAATTTGATTCATTTGTACTTGAAAAGATAGGATTCATAATGCCGGTTGGTTTTAAAGTAAGCCTTAACATTTTAATAAATACTTTTCACCACCTGAACAACTTAATTGTTCAGTTTCTTTGTTAAAAAAACATTATTTTAATTCTAGTTCTATACTTAAATAATGCATCAAAGATTGTGATGAAAGGGGAGAATTATTTGCACAGTTTTAATGGACTA